TAAAGGTGGACGGGGAAGGGACTTAGTGCTAGCTTACCACAATCATTCTGAGGTGCCTACACCTCCAGACATTCACTCAGGCAATCTGAATAGAAACTGACAACAAGAACCCAACTGACATCGGTTGGCAGCCATGTCTTGTACTGTCTCCAACCAGGCACAGTGAGGATAGACATGAATGGCGATTCTTTTGTCACTTTCTCTCCAGCACGTCTGGAGGCGCCGGTATCTCTGAAAGCTGTTGACAGACTAGCTCCAAATCCCTCCTCCATCTATTTTTATCCAATTTCTTGACAATGAACCGTTGAAATAAATTGTGATTGTACGGCAGCGTAGCACTCGTGTTGCACTCTGATGGGCTGTAGATGAGTTTGACAATAACGACGAAGATCATGATGATAATGGTAGTGAAGCAAATGATGATGGGACCCATCGAAAAGTTACATCCAGGGAGAAAGACCGGTTGCCCCTTTCACAGTGGTCTTCAAAAACCCATACCTATTTTCACGTTGTAGCAGGCAAAAGCACGAGGAGCATTTCACTGAAAATCTTTTGTTTTCCCAATTACTTTGAACAATGCGATGAGGCGGGAGAGAGAACCCATTTTGTATACTCCTGCTACATTGCGAAATATGTAATATAGCGTAAGACAGGAATAAGACATGAATAAATTACAACCACAACAGGTTTACCATTAAGTTTTACTTAGTGTGACCCAGTAAATAAAACCTTGCCAGACTTCAGCCATACTTAAGCAACTCTTGACTGCAATCAGACATCCATCCAAGTAAAAGTGAGATGTAATCAATTGAAAGGGGTGGGAGTCTGCCGTACATTACGGATTAATCGATCGAGGCAGTGCTTTGTGAACCATAGTTTTATCGATCGGATCACCTTACGTGAGGCATCCCTAACGATCTTATTGTGGAGTTAATCTGTCCTTAGGTACTCTGTTTCGTACATTTTTGTCTTTTGAGGGTGTTCAATTCAGTCATCACAGCTTTCTTTGGATGTACAAGTCAAAATTTGCGATCAATCCACCGCAGTACGCCAAACACATGATCATCCTACATGACCGATAGACAGAGCAGTCCGCATCGCCATCGTCACGTAGTAATTATTCGTACGTCATTAACGGAGGGCGACACCGTTTCAGAGCCCTCTATCGGTGGTGTCAAATTCTCTGTCTTTATGCTGCGGCGATCCATCCACTTTCTTTCCTCCGATGAACGTGTGTTCCGCCTAAGCATTTGTCTTGACGTACACCACCGATTCAAGACGCTCATCTATCTCACAAAAGAATGAATAATCAAGTTTGCGCTCTACAACTGTATTCATATACGAAAAGATCAATATGGAAAAAAGCGCAGAGCCACAGGCTTTAGAAGACAGCGATTTCTTTCAGAAAAGTTAGATAAATAATCAATCAGTTTACTGCTGAACAGTCACGCTTTTGATAAAAAAAACTTGCTCAGAACAAGTGGATAATTAAAGGATAGAGGCAGTCAGAAAGTTAGTGGTAGGCTTGATCCAGCGGTCTTTCATTCAGTCACTCGCACCTTGACCCTTGGGCTATCCTCAGAATCGGGAGTTTCGCAACTGAATTTGAAGATTGAATTGGCTCTTCAGGTAGTAGGGAGATTCTGAAGTTTAATTTCTACATAGACTGACTCCACATCCAGGATAAAAGTTCAGTTCAATGGCGTCAACTCGCGCAGCTGCTCATGTCTACATCGGACAACATTCACAGGCAATCCAGGATAAACTAGAAGATTTGAGGGAAATATCGTCAGCGGGTTGGATCACCAGGTTAAGTATTACTTGAACGCAGGTTCTAATCCCACTCCTGGGCTCCGTAGTGCACCAACCAACCCGGAAAAAAGAAAATCAGGTGACAGGAATCGATTGCGGGCCATTTAAAATGACGCACGATTCGACAGACTGCGCGACGATATCCAAGTCCTCCCAAGCGAATGAATATATTATTCCCAAATGGCCGAAAATTGAGCTAAGTCATGCTTTCAAGGCAGACATACTTAAGGCTTTTAAAATGTTTGATGTTACCGGAGAGGGCACAGTGACTGTCGACGCAGTACGGGTAAGTTAATTTTTCACATTGCTTTCTGCCCAGCCTGAGTTAGGCCACGGTTGAACAGGGTTTTCTGAAAAACGGTGGCCATCGTGGTGATGAAATCTGCGGTCATCACCGCTCATAGAAGCTGACATACGAATCACTTTCATTTAGAGCATTATATCATAAAATACTAACCATGGTGGAGGGTTTTTCAGAGTCAAATGCATCCCAAGAAATAGGGAGTTTAGACGAGTTTTGGAAAGGTTCTCTTTGAGACTGAGTTGACAACGATGAATCAACTCCACAAGGGTGACACCCAATCGCATTTTTTACGGTTTCGTCAACAATCCAAAGATGCAAGATGATGAAAGCAAACCGAGAATCCAGAAAGACGGAATTTGAAAGAAAGTAGGAATGATGGATTATATTTTACGAGTTTTTTATTCGAAGGTAGGATGAGATCTCGATACAAAAGCTACCTTTCGGGAGAAAAACAGAGTCTCCATAGGTGTGGTGCCTATTCCTAAGATTTTTGAACACCAGGTACTATTTATGCATTTCACTTAAGTCCACATGGCATGATACAGCAAATGTATGAAATGAATTCATTAATTTTCCAAAAAATCAAACAACGTATGAAATCTGGTGTGCTACTCAACCCATTATCCTCAGTGAGAAATATAGTTCGCCTTCCCAAACAGTGAGCACTCTAACAAGGCGTCAGTGCCTGTTTTGAGAACCTCCGCATTCCGACAAAAACTTGTCCTTGGTAGGGCTTTCTTCACTGCCAGATGAATAATTAGGTTGAGGTCGCAATGTTTCCTCCAAGCAGCATACTGTCATTTGGTTTACTGTTTCACAGTGTTTCAAGGAGAATCACTGAAGGTTGTGAAGAATTTTACATACCTCGATAGCTGTATCAGCTCTGACAGAAGTGTGTCTGATGAAGTCAGAGCAAGAATCTCAAAGGCTCGAATCACGTTTGCTAATTTGTGTCACTTGTGGCGTCAAAAAGCCATATCACTGGGTCCTAAGGGTCGTGTGTACCAGGCTACAGTAAGGGCTGTGTTGTTGTATGGGTGCGAGACATGGCCTCTGGTGCGAGACATTGCCACTGCGGACAGATAATGTGAGGCGTCTTCAGGTTTTCGGCCTCAAAAGCGTGGCTGGTTTTGGATGGCGTCAGCGAGTTTGTAACGAGGTGATTAGAAAACGGGTATTTGGTTGTGCTGCAGGCACCTCAATCCGGGAAAACATCCAGCATCATCAACTGCGATGGCTCGGTCATGTGCTACGCATGCCGAAACACCATCTACCGAGACGAGTGTTGTTCTCCGTGCCTTCTTCAGGATGGCACAAAGCATACTGCCAGTATCCTAGCCCTCGTGCTTCCTTCTGGTGGCTTGGCAGTCACGCACCGAAAAAGAGCTGCAGCTGAACGATCTAGAACAGTATCCCAGTGCATTAATCAGAGGGAATCATTCACCCGATTCATCAGCCGTCTTCAAAAAAATCACTAACCAACGGTAGGAATTTTTCGCATTCTGATCAAAACAATTTACTTGGCGAGAAATTCTCGTCAAGAACTCGCTGAAGTTCAGTCTGATTGCTAGTCAGTGATCACTGTGTTCGGTCTACTGACGTTCTACTGGTCATTCACGTGGAAACCTTGAAGTTTGAGCTCACTGACTGAGTATTCAGTTTGTGTTGCGAATGGTTTAAGAAAACTGACGAACAAATGTCGTCCTGATGAACAATTTAAAATATCAACAGCTTCTGGAGCCATGACTGTTGTTTCCTTCGACATAGCAGATAGGTTTACCTAAACAGGCAACTTAATTGGAACCTAAAAAAGCCCACCTTTTGTTTTTTCACTATTTTCCGTTTTCTTCGGACTACCTAGTGCCATCGCCAAAAGGACCTTACTTTGGGTTAGTTTGCATTTCCTTCTGTTGGTGATTAATTTGATTCTTTTTATCTCTCGAGGGCTTCAGTTTCACTTCTCCGATCATAGACAGGTTCCTTTCGTATAATCGGTCTTCTGAGGTGCATTTTAGCAAACGTAATCTAAGCTTTCTATCGCGTTCGTGGGAGTCTGCTCAAGTCACATCAAAAATATACGGCACACATTTCACAAAATGTGGGCCAGTATGAAAAAAATAATAAAAGGCGGTTTATCGGTTGAAAAACAAAGCATTCTATGTAGCATGGTCTAATCCTCCCAGCCCACTTTTCTGCTCTGCCCCGTGACTGGAAAGTATTCACAGCCGCCAGGAGTACCTCGATAACACAGATGTCCGTTATGAAAAGTGTTGCTCCAGTGGTAATGAGTACGAACTTGCAGAAAGAGCATCACTGGTACTCACTTATCAATAGTGCCCCAATCACCAAACAAAGAATTACGATTGAACACGAGGTATAGCGAAACCTGAATGCACTTTGGAAGAGATCAAATGCCTCCAGATGTGTGATGTGCCCCATAAGGAGGTTTAGAGCATAGAGGCGGAAATACCTGAGATGAATCCATGCATTTGTCCCAGATTTCTCTAATGCAATAAGTTATATCTGCTGACTTGCCAATCTGTTAACCCGCTCCAGTGCCCAATGCCGGGGAAAAAGACCAACATAAGGGAACACAACAGCTATATTCCGAACAAGCGAGTGCGAGAGCGTGAATGCGTGCGCGGGGGAAAGTACGACGGTCTCAAGCTACTCATCGGAGGGACACTGTCTGAACTTGGTCCAATGCTGACGCACGCGGTCTGGCCTTGGTACGAGGCTGCGACGCGCTGCATACTGAGGGGGCGCTGCCTGTCTGGTCAACATCTGGCGGAGCTGAGAGTTCCAGTAGATTTCGGGTACTCAGTGGTTGCTTTTAGGGATCTGACCTTTCTGATAAAATAGGATTACCTAAAATAAAGTATTTATCGACATATTGCACCATTCATGTGGCTGCTGAAAACAGCCCACAACCGGTTTCACTCTTCACAAGGTTGCTGAAAATCCGTCGACAGCCCAACACCGGTTTCGACCTTTTTTGGGGCTCAGGTTGACGGAATCTCGGGGACTGCGCCTACCTGATGGGCCCCAAGAAGGGCGAAATCGATCGTGAACTGTCGACGGATTTTCAGTAATCTCATGAGTAGTGCATTACAAATATATATACAGGTATCGCGATATCTCGAATATCGTAGCGACTAAAACATGAGGCGACCTGGTGCAGCACATTCAGCTGCCTGGAAACATCACAAACGAGAGATTCAGCTGGTTCGAGGTGAGTCTTTCGAAAAACCAAATTGGTTTCACTCTTCTTGAGACCCATCAGGTGGGCATGGTCCCCAAGTTCCCGTCAACTTTATGTTTCGCTTGAACCCAAATCGGACAGATTTCGACAACTACACCCATTTGCACATCAACTTAGTTTTAACGGTAGACTCATCTGGAACCCAGATAATGTTCTTAAGCGGCTAAGTGTGCTGCCCCAGACCACCTCGTGTTTCAGTTATTGCAATACTCGAGATACCGCCGGACGCTTTGTGGACGTAACACACCATTCGAAGAGTTTTCAGCAACTCTATGAGTCTTGTATTGCGTCTATACAATGTATCGTGATATCTTGAATATGGTACCAACTGAAACATGGGGCGGCACGCTGCATTACAGAACACAAAGAGCTTTCAGAGAGTTAAACAAATCAAATTATTTTGTTATTTCCGGTAGCACGTGTGTATCGACGTTGTTGCAGATGAGTCGTCACCCTGCACAACTGCAGTTTCATGGCGAACTGCTGGAAGGTCATCAGTTCAGCTTCGTCCAGGCCGAGCTAAATTCAAGAGTAATGAAATCCTTTAATCTTTTCTCCAGTCACTATACGAAACCATATCGTCTGGATAAAAATATCAGTGTACACTGGTTGCTTTTCTCCACCATGTTTGACCGAAACCTCAGCAAAGTTGAGAGAATTCTGTCCGGGAATTCCAGATCTTTAAATGTCGTTTGATCAAGGTTACATCACACACTACCCACGGTTTTCTTGAACCAACACATTTATCTGGTACAAGAGCGATTGAAAATCTAAACAGCTGCTTTCTTACACTTGTTTGATTCAGCTGAGTTGGCAGCTAGCGTGTGGGCAAATGTGCCAGGGACTCGAACGCCAACAGGAAGTGCACGTCGGATCAGAGAGCCCGGTGAGGCCAAAAAAGCGTTCTGGATGAAGCAGATTGATTTGGAGTGGTACCATTACTCATCGAGTAGATAGTTTTTCTACTCTTCTCATATAAATGCTAAATTAAACGATTTTAAGTTTAGGAAACGGATAATAAGTGTTTAAGTTCAATAGACCAATAGGTCATGACCAGCCTCAAGGATTTTTATGACCCCGTGAGGCAGTAATGAACGTCCTCTGTCCATATTAGGCGAGCGTTCCTAAGTAATATACAGGTTTTTATCAACGGAACCTTGTGGGATTCGGTTAATGTGCTTAAATGTGGTCTGACCCTATTTGCGAGGCTATACTGAAGCTGATCTGGTGGGTTCGCCATTGGCTGCGCTTCAGAAAAGATTAGGACAGATAAGGGGATCCGCCTAATATCTCATGAGTTAAAAAAGATGAGCTGATTTCGTTCGTGAATTGAAGAGGCCTTGTCTACAATATCCATTCTTTGGTACAGCACAGTCATCTGCTAGCTCGACGTTTCGGTACTGAATGATAATTTATACAAACACCGTGAGAACCAATGGGGTGTGGTCTTCATAAGCGGCTGACCTTTTACAAAATGTGCTACTTATTTCTAACAAGTAGGTAAACGCAATCTGACCATAGATATGGATGCATGGACAATCGAATACTATTCTTGCTTTATGCCACTCGGGGCATAACGGAGGGCTTGCACCATCTTTGAACACTCTGGAAACAACCCCAGTATTCCGCAATCTTACCGCCAAAAGATCGGGGAATACTGCTGGCCAAGTTACACTATTATCGACTCGAATGCACAGTAACTAGAACATAGATTCGCTGCACACGTAGATACCGGAAACTGCACTTTGAAAAGTCATTCGGTAGGCTGCAAATCCACCAGGGGTTGGATAAACCATGGCAAACAGGTCGGTTAACTCTCAGCTGTACTCGACTATAGTTTTTATTTAAAAAAATCAACATTTCGCGTCACCTCATGGTATCCGGTCGGTATTTGTGTACGGTCAACGGGGATGATTTCTTGGTTCAAGTCCGAAAACAAAGCTGAAGGCAAAAGATATCTAGGTGCGAATTCAGTGTCTGGAAAATGAAACATGATTTTTTATCACGGTCAAAGTTGTAGGTAGGTAGATTTACCAAGAGGTCGTACTCTGGTTTGAGTCCTTCCCGACTGTATGTTGTGTTAGAAACGACATGAAATTGGGAACACTTTTTATACCATCAGGTCTCAAAAGTAATCACTCGAAATCAATTATTTTTGAAGCTCCAGCGCTATACGCACTCCCGAAATTTCTGTTGTCTCTCCAGCCAACGATGAATTTTGAAGAAAACTTGTTGAAATATGCTCATCTGCAAGTACGGGCCTTTGACCAATAAGTCTACATTACAGGAACCAGGAAAAAACGGATAAGGTAGTGTTACCGTGCTGCTTAGCGCTCGTTGTGTAGCTTTACGTCAGCCTACGGTTTTCGTGGGTTATCAGGTAAGCATAAATAGTCATGCGGTGTTTTATAGCTCTGATATGCTGGTTGACGTGGTTTTGTTAGGTTCATTGCAAAAGTCAAATTTAGATGAAATAAGATTTATTGTCTAGGCGGTTGAAACACTGGCTGGATACGCGCTCCAGCTCTAAGTACATGTGGGTGGCTTGAATTTGTTATATGTATAAGAAAGCCGGTAGTTTTTCAACAGGTCTCCCCTCCCAGTTGCCACACCTCCATACGCTCTGTGATCGGTTCAGAGCTTAGAACCCGTGTTCCATACCAGGAACAGAACTCTATTTTGATAGATTGGCATGGAGCTCGTGTTTGATATACAACACTTACCAAAACAGGTTACTACTAAACTGATGTGTGTGTGTGTGGGGGGGGGGCGAGATGGTCCAAGTGGTTAAAGTGCGAATTTACCGATAGGAAGGTCCGTGGTTCAAACCCGACCTCTGCCTCTCGACCTCCCCTCTCTAGGCTTGGGCAACCTGGCAGTATCCCAGCCCTCGTGCGACCTTCGGGTGGCATGGCAGTTAGGAACCAAAAGGGTGCTACAGCTGAACAATTTAAACTGATGTGTGATCGAGCAACAAGATTTTTATTGACCATGTGATATCTAGCACCATTTGTCCTTCATTAACATATCGGTTCAAGTTATGAACGAGGAGCAGGTGTCAAAATTTAATCGCTGGGTTTTTATGTATCCGAATTCCGATGGACTGTAAATGGATATGCAAACATAACTAAGTTGTAGGCTCAGATATTAGGGCGTGGCGTAAAAGTGAGGTTGATGAAACAGTAAGTTGTTCACGAAACGTGAAGACAGCACGTTCGGAACTTGTCACAAAATCTCACCTTTATAGGTTTATTTGGGTCGACCGATGTGTGAACAAACCTCTGATTTAGTTTAGCGCCATCTTCCACTAAAGTGATTTTGATATCATCATACAAGGATTCTGGATGCAAATACGACGAATACTAGTTGATGCAAACTCTCAAAACAGACTGTGTCCGCTAAAGGCCTCATTTTTACACATTTCATCAAGAATTTTAATCAATTTGTTTGAGGCAACACATTTGTGTCATTGATTGGGGTGTGCGACCGAACGGTTATAATCTAAATAGGCGGTGGTCAGAATGCCTGATAATTTTCAATACCTAGAAACCCTCTTTCCACATTGATGGAAATATATCAGAATGTGACAGACCCCACAGCGGCAACATGTGACTAGGCTGGAGTAGATGAATGCACTCAGGTCTACCATTCAGATGGCTTTAGAGTTTCGGGAAAGAGAGGAATTAGTCCAGTAACCCAGACACGTGTCTGGTCGCTCCCACTAATAGAATGCCCAAAAACTGAAACCTGACAAGTTGATTGGCGCTATAAAACGAATTACGAGCAAGCACCCTGTTCTCGCACCAATTTCTGTTCACTGAGGCCGTGTAGGACTAACCGAGAAGTTTAAAGTTTCTGTGGAGATCAATTTGTGAAAATATTGGGGACCCGTAGGAACTGTTGGCCAAATGTTTCAAACACTGGATTTCCTGCCTTGTCTGATATTATACAACCGGAACGATTAAATCGACCTTGTGATTCTAACTTGTGTGGTCACTCGTGAGCAATACACCGAGGCAACCTATCGCTTTCCTACATGTTTGAAACGGCATAAATCGTGTAAATTTCATGATGCAGATGGCAAATTGGAATCAATTGTTATTCTCGTTTTATATTGCAAGTGCCACGGTTGCGTTCGCCTGAAAACTGGGAGCTGTTCTAACTTGAACCAAGTTGTGTAACTGAACCTCTGTGTTTGCGAATAAACGAACGTATGATCCCTATAAATAAATCATGAACCGGCACGTTTCCCTGCACTCTCTAAAGACGATGATATCCTCATGATATCATCCCTTTGGTGTGTGTGTGTGATTATGATGTGTCGAAATAACCGGCCCCATGCCGATGAGTCTGAAGGACGGGGGAAGAATCATTGCGGACTTAGTTGTGCACGAAATCCGAACCCGAAAACGGACAGCAATCCACAAGAATCATTTGCACCAGAAGCCCTTATGCGGCTCAAACAGTGAAACCTTATAATTCCCTCCTCACTTCACAAAGTTCGCTTGACTGAACACGAGAGAATAGTTTATGAGCTGCACTCACTGGTCGACAAAACTACGGCAACATTATTGGACATATCGACCGACCATCACGTGACAACTAAATCTCCATATAGTCTCAAGTAACTTCTAATATCGATTAATTGAGTACATCCGTTCCCTAAACTAAGTAGTTTTCGTAAACTACTGTATACTGAAAACTTTCGGGGCTCGTCCCTTGTGGTGAGCCCCAGTGTTATCACAGTTGAACGAGATTCTACCATCATCAAATCATACCATTGACAACATACAAGTAATACATATTGGTGCCTAAAAATTATAATAAATAATCAACTAGGTGTAAAACCTTTTCGAAGTACATTTGCCATGCCACCAGAGGAAAGCACAAGAGCTGAGTTACTATCAGGTTGCTCTGGCATAGAAAGAAAGAGTCGATGTGCCGCGGTTGCGTTCGAACCACGGATCTTCTGATCAGTAAGTTCACACCTTAAGCATTGAGCTGTTACCTCAAAATCCAAGGGTGCAAGGAAACCTTGAATGAATGTTTTAACTTCCTTTTCAGGTTGCATTCAGGGCACTTGGATACGACACCGAAGTGAATGAGTTCAAAGAACTTCGCCACCAGACAAAAGAGTTTGGAGGACGCGTTGACTTTGGAGAATTCCTAAATCTGATCACAGACCGCATGCTGGCTCTTGATAACGATATGGATATACAAAAATCATTCGAACTTATGGATACAGGGGATAAAGGATACATCGACATCGAGGACCTACGAAAAGCAGCTGCCACGCTCGAATTACCCGAGATGTATGATGACGATTTCGCTGCTATGCTACTCGGAGCGCAAATTAACGATCCAGCCGAGGAACTGCAGAAGGCCTACGAGGAACGACAAAAGCAGGCGCGAATACGCAAAGGTCTGTCTTACGGGATAGACACAACCACAGCAGAAGTAATGGCAGCCGCGGCTGTCTCAAGCGGTCAAGTCATGCCCGGCATGTCGGGATTTCAACGTGCTCGACGACTCTCCTCTAGTGGACAACCAAGTCCTGGCACACTTACGGTGGATCTAAAACAGTTTAATCACTTAATGAAGATGACAAGACCACCAGTGGAAGACATCACGCTACTTTAAGCCGCCAATAATCTGTTTCTCATCGACACTTTCCACTAGGAGGTCAACTGTAATGAGAGACGAACCCGAATTCATAGAACAAATGATGAGTCTGATTTGACGGTAGTGAAACAGCTCTAACTTTCTGACCGATAAAATACACATATGATAGTAAAGCAATTCGCGAGTTTTTTCTCCAAAAATTCAAAAAACTTGCTGCTTGTCGTTTCTTGATCACGGCTCACGGAAGGCAGTCAATCCGTCCGTCAAACTTACGTCATAGTAGTGTGATGGGCGGAATGCCCTATTTCTCTTAGGAACTTTTACCTCATATTCGATATATAGTCCTTGTAAGATCCTGACGGTTAAGGATCTCACAGGACGATTGCGACTATTAGATTATACGCAGTTCGTAGCCAGTAGTCAATAGGAGCAGACAGACATGGGGCAGCAGATGATATATTGAGGACTGACAGGAACTGGTTCTACAGACAAACGGATTAGTAAGCATCATGAATTAAGCAAACGTACAATCAGTAATGACGCAATCAGCAGGAGCGGAAAATAGTCACTGACGCAGCAGGGATTCCTAGAAGCAACCACAAGTAAGCACTAAACTATGTACAAGCATACACATAGGGGCAGTCTGACAGTGTAAGTTGGCCGTACAGAGAGATAACGGCACAGAAATCAGTACGTTTGGGATGTGAGGGACTGTCTTTCGGTCGGCGGTGTGACGCGGTAGATCACGTGACAAGTCAGATTGCGCAGTTTCGTTCGTTTAAAACAAATCTCGCCAAAGGCTATCTGGCAGGTACGGTACATGGGTAATTCAAAATAATAGCCCCCGGGCGTCAGTATGGTGTAGTGGATGGCTCGTCCGCCTACCGTCTGGGAACTCTGGGTTCGATACCCGGTCGGGTCACTTCTCTGGCCCTCGAAAATAGGTACAATCGAGACGAACTTACAAGCAATGACGGACGGGTAACAGGATATTGACATCGGTCACTGAGGCATAAGCAGACCTTAAGTAGGAACGGAACACGGAAAAACGGGCAGCCAGC